TCCTGTGTAGCTGGGATTACAAGTGTGGGTCACCACCCTCTTTCTTTTTAAAATGAACACATAAACAATACAACTATTTCCATTTGGGGGAGGGGAAATTATCTCCTTGTAGGTTTATGCTGACCTAAAATATGCCTGTTTCTTTAATTTACAAGTCTTACTTCTTCTTCTTCTTTTTTTTTTTTAGAGAGAGAGGGAGAGAGAGAATTTTAATATTTATTTTTTAGTATTTGGCGGACACAACACCTTTGTATATGGTACTGAGGATTGAACCCGGGCCGCACGCATGCCAGGTGAGCACGCTATCACTTGAGCCACATCCTCAGCCCTACAAGTCTTACTTCTATCCTTTGGAAAAAACAAAGTCTATCTTTTCCATAATCTGCAAACACAATTTAAATATAATTTGCTGTTTACAAAACATAAAAAAAATCATGCCCAACTTTTTTGTTGTAGAGGGACACAACACCTTTATTTATTTATTTGTATGTGGTGTTGAGAATAGATTCTAGTGCCTCACACATGCTAGGCAAGTACTCTACCACTGAGCTATACAACCTCAGCCCTACATCCAACTATTTTTTTTAAAATGTTTATTTAGTTGTAGATGAACACACAGTATCTTATTTTTATGTGGTGCTGAGGACTGAACCCAGTGCCTCACAAGAGGCAAGCACTTTACCACTGAGCTACAGCCTCAGCCCCCACTATGTCCAAGTTTTAATGTATGATTCTATTTGAACTTTCACAAAAAGAATCACATTCAAGACCAAATGTGTTTTTCATGGCAGCATAAACAGAAATATTTCAGGAAGGAAGTTCAAGCCTTGTTTTGGGGCTTTAATTTCCCCCAATTAAATACTTCCTTTTAGTGCTAAGCCTAAACCACTGGAAATTTGTATAATGTGACATGTAAAAATTAACATCAAGATTTATATTACCCTCTTGAGTGCAGAGATTAGATTTTATTCATCCTTATATTTTCAGTGTCTGATAAACTAGAGGAGTTTTAATAGGTGAATATTTTTCTTGAGCAGAATAGAGAAATGAAATTCTACTTTGAAAAACTCCTAAAAACATGCAATTGTTACAAACATAGGAAATGTTATTTATTTTAGGCCTTATAAATTAAAATGACATTTCTTTTTTTTTTCTTTTTGTACTGGGGATTGGACTCAGGGGGCACTTAACCACGGAGCCACATCCCTAGTTCTCTTTTGTATTTTATTTAGAGACAGGGTCTCAAGTGAGTTGCTTAGGGCTTCACTAAGTTATTGAGGCAGACCTGGAACTTGCAGTCCTCCGGCCTCAGCCTCCTAAGGCACTGGGATTATAGGTGTGCGCCAGCTTCTAAGTAATAAAAAATTCTTAAAAAGTTTTCTAAGTTTCAAGGACTACTGCTGTTATCAGCAATAATCTTGATTTTTTTTTTTTCAGTCTGTATTGAACCACATTACTACCCAATTGCTTCCAATCATGTATTGGATAGAAAGTCAAAATAGGTTAGTTGTGTTGAAGGAGGTGGCCTCTTAGGGAATCTGGTTCTGAAAGTTAAAAACTTTCTTCTTTTGGATTAGTAATATTCAACCCCCAAATTCAATTTTTTTGGATAATGTGATTATACAAATAATTTGGGTACTAGTAGGGATCTGAGCAGTAAATTTTTAATATAGTCTAGAATTGATCAGTTTTGAAAGAGATTATCTGGGCCTTGAGGACTTTCCTTTTTGATTGTCAGTGAGGTTTACTTACCCAAAAGGTTTAAAGGATTGTTAAGGAGAGAGGAGTCCTGGACTTAAAAAATCAGAAATGATGGGCTGGGGCTGTAGGTCAGTGGTAGAGCACTTGCCTAGCACCTCTGAGGCCCTGAGTTCGATCCTCAGCACCATGCAAAAATAAATAGAAAAAAGGTGTTGCGCCAAAAAAAAAAAAAAAAAAAAAAAGAAAAGAAAGAAATCATAAATGAAAGCTTCATACAGGTATAGATGAAATTTGATTAGTGAAGACCTTACTAACATTTTTGAACCTATATGTGCGGTAAGGCCGCTGCTTTACAGAAGTGCTAACAATTCACTTATAATACTAGGGTGGGCTTGCCTTGACCATAAAAAATGCTAGTTGACCCCACACTGGGGTGTGTATCATCATTAAAAGGTATGTAATTTTATCCAATATATGTTTCTTTAGACTGGTCATCCCACTGAGAAATAATTCATCAGTCTCTTTAGCAATTATTTCAAGATTTGATCTCTTACAAAATGAATTAATTTATGGGTTTAGTCTCTTCATTCCCTTCTTTTGGCAATTAACCAAGACATTGTTTTATTATAATTTTTTAAATAGAACTCTAGTCACATTATTCTTCAAAATTGTAACATTTTTCTACTATCTATCAAATTAAGTAAAACAGCTTGACATTCAGTGATTTCCTCAAAAAATTGCCTGATTTTTTTTTTCTGGTATTTTTCCTATATACTATATACTTGTTTCTATATACTATAGGAACAAGATCATTTCTCCTGTAGGTTCTGGTTATTAGGCAATAGTGGGTTAGTACTAAGTGGGTTGTTGTCCCAGAAGAAGGAACAAAAGAAAACCAGCTCCCCATCCTCACTTCAACAGAGATGATGGGATGGGAAGTAAACACTGCACTACCATGTTTCTGAAACAGATCTGTCATGCTGTTGTCATGTAAAATTATTACACTTGGTTATCTTAAAACCTGGATCTATAGACCAGGATGTGCTAGAATTTCAGACTTCTATGAACTTGGTCTAGGGAAAAAAAAAGGCATATTCATTTTTAATTTTCTTCAATAAGTACAGGCAATAAATTAGAGTAGTATTAACAGTTTCTATGTCTTTGTCTCAAAATTTAACTTATATTCATCACTACTTTGAATTATATAATTAGGCCTGCTGCTGGATGATATTTAATGCACAGAGAAGTGCATGTGTAACTATACCACACATTTAAAAAATATTTTGAAGACTTTCAAAAACATTGATTTTTCTCTTTATGTATTTTACTTTATACATCTAAAAGCATTTTTGAAAAAATATTTATTTTTTGGTTGTAGTGGACACAAAACTTTTATTTTATTTATTTATTTTTATGTAGTGCTGAGGATCAAACCCAGGGCCTTGCACTCTACTGCTGAGCTACAACCCCAGCCCCTTAAAAGCATTTTTGAGGTCTATTCCCAGATCAGATGGCCAAAGAGACCCAGACAGTAAAAGAGGTTAGGCACCTTTGTATTTATAACTATTAATTGCTTATATTATCTAAACTCTTGGGCATGGAATTCACAGCTCATAATCTGTTAACCCACTTTATCATCTTCGTCTCTTCCCTACCTCTACTCTCTATACTATGCTCTAGCCATATTAGACAACATCAATGCTTCTTATCTGGTGGCAGAGAGACAAGTTTTTGGTAGACAATACTAGCTAATAGAGAGCCATCATGCTGTTTTGGGCTTTACCTTTTAGAGCTTTTCTTTGCCAAGTGCATTTTTCTTTGTCCAACGGTCTGTTTCCCCTAATACTTGGTGATCCTAATAGGGTTATATTTTAAATATCAAATCTTGTTCCTAACTTAAACGATTAATAATAGTAGACACCCCTCTAAATTTGCAAGGCACCAGGTGAGTGGATGTTGGTCAACCCCAGAATCTGGTAAATTGGCTTAACTCTGATGCAAGAAAGGGAAAGAAAAGACAGCAGTAAGTGGGGCAGACTTCACTGAAGATTGAGGGATGGAACTCTGATGAGAGGAAAGGCAGGCATAGATCTGCTCAGTTCCCAGAGCAGTTATTCAAAACTTTCAGCACTCTGCTCAACCCTCTCATTCTATTCTCAACTCTGTTGTCAAATGACCCCCATCTTCATGTTACAGAGCCAACTCCACCAATTTCCTACCCTTCTCTACCTCTCATTTTCTCTTCTCTAGTTTGATGGACGGCAATCCTCAATATTAGTCATCTGGGGAGGGTTAAAAAAATTCTGATTGCTGGCCCTTACAGTTTAATTGGTCTAGAGTGGGGCAACTTAAAAAAAAAAAAAAGCTTTCCAGGTGGTTCTAAAGAGTACATAAGGTTTTTGGCTGGGGTTGTGGCTCAGAGGTAGAGCGCTTGCCTCACATGTGTGTGAGACACTGGGTTCCATTCTCAGCTTCGCATATAAATAAGTGAATAAAATAAATGTTCATTAGCAACTAAAAAAATACATAAAAGAAAAAAGTACACAAGGTTTAGTTCACTAGGTTTCTTGATACATTAGTCTTCTTCATCCTTTAATTGTTTATGGCTCAATGGTACACTTTAATTCTTAAAAAAAAAATCTCATCTTTAAAGAAAACATTATTGGGGCCCACATTATGGTTCCTAATTTCTCTCCTTTAAGATAAATCTTATAAAAGGGGTAGTTTAAAAGGAAATCTACACCAATATGGTTTTCACCAATTATATTCTAATCCCCTTTTACTCTTCCAGGCCTGTCACGTGTTTTGTAACCATCAAACTTTCCACTTGTACCCCCCCCCCATTTCTTTTACAAGCTACTGCTCTTTAGTCTTTTAACACAGTACTTTGAGTCACCCAAAGGTCACCTGGGAAAAGTCCTCCTCTATAAACAGGGGTCTATCGTCTGTGCTCAGACAGCATCCTGTATAATTTTACTGTGCTACCATTGTGGAATCATCGTCTGCAGTTCAAAGAGCTGAGTATTTCTTTCGCGTCCGACTTTGGAACTTAAAGCATGGAAAACACTGAAAGAAAAGTCTGAGGAATGAATGGAAAGGAACCGCAGGAAAGGGAGGCTGGAGGCGGGGACAAATGGGGGAGGGGGCGTGCCTGTGTTGGGGGCGGAGGCTATGACGGGCGGCGTTGAGAATCTAGCGGGAGCACAGAAGGGGGGGGATACACTAGTTTGGGGGGAGGACAAAGCAATCCACAACCGGGACAAGCTCAGACAAACCGAAGTGGGAAGCAGGTTTCTTACCTGCCTCAGGCTTCACCACCCCAACCAGCCTTCAAGCGCCTCAGTATTGACCGGAAAGCGAGAGCTAAGGTCGCAAACCCAGAGTTTCTTTCCCCACCCTTGCGACATTCCTCTCTAGTGGAGGGAGAATGTAACTGAGTTCCTAGTCCTGCCGTAAGGTGAGGAAGAAAAATCTAGGCGTGGCTTCCCGGGGCGGAGGACATAGGGCGTGTCTGCGCAAGCGCAGTTGTGCGTTCTGGCGTCGTCACGTGCGGGGGCGGGGCCCGGCGGAGCCGGCCCAGGCTGGCAGTAGGGGGCGTGGGAGTTAAGTGCGCGCGCGCCTGTTCTCCTGCAGCCGAGGAGTCGCGCGGGGCGGGGCCGCGTGCGCGGGGTCGGGGGCGCGCGGGCCGAAACGGACTAGGGACGCGGCGGCGGTTGGTGGTGGCCTTAGGAGAGTCTTGCCCGGATTGTGAGAGGCGGCGGTGGAAGCACTCTCCGCACCAGCAGAGGCAGCGACCCCGACTGAGGCGGCGGGCCAACGCGTGCTCTCTGGGCGGGGTGCGGCGGGGGATGTGCCTGCCCCGGCCGGGCGGAGTCTCTCTGACAGGGCGGGGGATGCGCGGCGGCCGCTCGCCCGGACCTTGAGGCAGTGGGCCCACCCTCACGCAACGGTCCGACCCTCGGTAGCCTTGGCTCCTGCTGCCTTCTTTGGCCAGACCCTGGGGCAGAGGGTGGGAGGCAGCTTCCGCCCAGGAGGAGGGAGCTGTGGTGGCCACCGCGGCGCAGCCCGAGGTAAGACCCGCCCCAGCGGCCCTGCCGCCGAGCCCGGCCCACGTCCCAGTCTCGCTCTTTGGCTCCCGCTGGGCCGCCCCGCCCCAGCGGAGACGCCCCACGAACGGGTCTGCCTCGGAGCCTTATTGACTCCTGATCTGGGCCGGGATTCTCCAGAGACCCAACCCCTCGTATCTTCCATAGGGTAGACCTCGGTTGGTTTTCCAGCCTCAGCTGCAATTCTGTCACCATTCCCCGTCCGCGCCTACCCGGTCAGAACCCCCTCAGACTTCCAGGACTCAATATTGAGTCTCCAGACTTCATTATGCGGGACCCGATCGTAGTGCCCGAGACACGGCCACTTCCTAACCAATTGCGACCCCCAGCTCACAGGTTTCCCAGATAGGTCGCTGCCCCCGCCTTCACTTTTTAATAGGACTCTCCCATCCCCTCCGCCCAGTTGGCGTACTGTCTAGCCACCTAGCACGTCCCCTACCCATCGGGGCTTTTGGACAGCTTGTGTTGGGATGCTCTCACCTCCACTAGATTAGGGTCAGCCCCTCTAGACACCATCACAGCTTTGGGTCTCCTTTATCCGCTGTTATAGTGTCTCCCAAACCTTATCTTTCTGTTTGCGATCCTTTTTTTTTGATTGAAAATGCTTTGCCTCCAAATCCTGATTTAGTCTAGAATATTCCCCCAGTGAGACTAAGGGGACCGAAGTGAAACCCATGTTTGGAGGGTTTGTTCTCGCCACTGAAAGTGGAGGGAAAGGAAAAATTATCTATCGAAGCACAGGACATGCTGTGTGTGCCATTATAAGGTCGTACACCCTGCTCCTCATATTATTTCGTAGAACTAAAGAATTAGTATAGATCTGAGACTTTATGGGCTTCTATAAGGATTAAGTCTTATTACACCAATGAATGTATTTTTTCCATGTATCATCTACATTACCTCCTTGTAGATTTCTACAGATATTTTATACTAGTTTTGAAAGATATTAGGGGACTTTTAAAAAAATTTTTCTGTTTTTGAATTGGTTGGGAAAATATTTCTATCCGTCCTTAATCCCTGAAAACTTTAGTATCATACTAATAATAATTTTCTTCTACCTAGCATTGCTGTCTTCTCTAAGGAGCAAGTACAAAAGTCATGCAATGAGACTGGGGATATAGCTCAGTGGTAGAGCGCTTCTAGTATGTGTGAGGCACTGGGTTGGATTCTCAGCACCACATATAAATAAATAAAGACCTATCAACAACTAAAAAAATTTTAAATTAAAAAATGTAATATTTATTGTGTCATTACTAAAAGCTTTATCAATAATAGTAAAATATTGAAGATTGTACTCCTGAGCTGTCAAGAAGGAAATAGTGTTGCATCAAATGATCAGTCCATAATTTTAACTTTTAAAGGGATAAAGGATAAAAAACTGTAGTCACTACTTTAAAACTTTTTATGTGTATGTGGACAGAGGGAGAAAATCATATTGAAATTATGGGTAATAAGTAGACCTAGTATAAATGTCAAAAGGTTCTGGAGCGTAGTGTAGTAGAATGGTTCTCTTCCTCCTTAGTTCTCTAGCCACCCATTTTTTTCCTTAGAACAACCTCTTCCCGGCTTCTCATGTATCCTTCTTGTGATATTTCCAGCATTTACAAGTTCATATGGTATATTAAGACACAACACACATTAGTGGTTGCATACTATACACTTTGTATATAGCTTGTTTTTTTCCACTTAATTACTGGATCCTAGAGATAATTTGATAGACGTATGGATATCATTTACTGGCTGGATAGCATTCCATTTTGATGAACTTGAGGTCTTTTGCTTTTATAGAAAATACTGCACATTTTAAAATATGTCAGTTATATGTATGTTTTAATACATGAAGTGAAAAAAATTCCTGTTTCTTTTGTGTTGAACCTACATAAAAGGATATAAGTAAGTTTCTGATTGAATCTCTGAGCTACAATAGTGTGACTACTTTTTGATATTTAATTTAAAAATCAAGGATTTACAATTGGTGACTGAAATTATCAGATATGCATTTTTTTTTTTTTAAAGTCACTGACTTCATGGGCTGTGGTTGTAGCTCAGTGTAGAGTGCTTGCTTCACATGTGTGAGTCACTGGGTTCAAGTCTCAGCACCGCATATAAATAAATGAATAAAGTAAAAGTCCATCAACAGCTAAAAAAATATTTTTTAAAAAAGTCACTGACTGCAGTGATTAGGGTGGACTGAAGAGTAGAGTAGGCTTAAGCTTTAATATCAGGAGGGTAATCCAGACAAATGATAATGGGTCTGAACTTGGGACTGAACTTGGTGATTTACTTGGATTCCAGGTTGGGGAGAGTGTGTAAAGATTTCTCCCTGTGCCTTTCAGTTGAGGTAGGGAGCCACATAAAGGAATGAGATTTTTATTAAAGAGGGACAGAGGGGTTCACATTGTGGGATGTAAAGTTTGGTTGGATGTGGGTCCTTCAGGTATAGATGGTCAGTGGACAGGTGGATTTGTGGCTAAAACTTGCAGTTAACAAGTGCTGAGTTGGTAGTGATAAATTTTGGAGACAAAAGCTTATAGATGAAAGGAGAAAAGGTTTAGGACAGAAAACTAACATTTAAAGTGCAATATTTTAATATATATGTTTAAAATTTTTAAAAAGCCTTATTGTAAGTTAAGCATCAGTAGTGAAATTCACTATATATGATGTTTTAACATATTTTCCTCTTAATTTAGTGGTGTGTACTTACTGAGGAAAGTAGAGAAAACTTAGGTTTTTTTTTTTTTTTTTTTTTTTTAAATGGGGAAGGGTTTTTGCTACGTTTCCAGGCTAGTCTTGAACTCCTGGGCTTAAGTCATCCTCCTGCCTCAATCACCTGTGGAACTGTGACAACCAGTGTATTCCACTGTGCCTGGTTCAACTTAGGTTTTTTAAAAAGTACAACTTTAGGAGAAATTAGTAATATAAACATCTTTTTTCCTAATCATTTGGAGTATACTATGTAGTTGTTTAACTTTTAATATTTGCAAAGAAGTGCAGGAACTTTGAAAATATAGTTTGCCAAGAATGTTAAGGTTTTTAATTTGAATGATGTTTTAGGTGTATTAACTTAGTTTGAAATAAACATTGAAGACTTTTCCAACATCTTTAAAACACAACCTTGACTTAATGTATTGATTCCTAAGTCCAGGGTTGCTGTTTAGAGCTCTTGCTTCTCTGCTCTGTACCTCTGTAAATGACTGCCTACTGAATACTGAATATCTTCACCTGGTTTCACATTTCACAGGCACTTTCAAAAAAGTGCAAAAGAAAACTCTCTTCTGCCTCTTTCTCCAAAACAGTTGCGCATGTGTGGGTGGGCAAGTACGCAGATGAAAGTGCAACAATTTTTTTTTCTTCCTCCTCATTTGCTACCTTTATTAATACCTTCATGAAGCCTTTAAGAACTTTGTGAATCATCTTCCACTAAATTCTGAACCTCAACACTAACATTTACTTTGTTACAAGTCTTGAACATTTGTTCTCATATTTCTGATCATTGGTTATTATTCTTTATTACTCTTTTGTTGTCTCTATTTTAACTCAAAATGCCTGTTGTGCTTCTGTAATGCTTTTTAGGTGTTCTTTTTTTCCCTAAATATTTATTTTTCAGTTTTCAGTGGATACAACATCTTTATTTCATTTTATGTGGTGCTGAGGATCAAACCCAGCGCTCTGTGCATGCCAGGTGAGCGCATTACCGCTTGAGCCACATCATCCTCAGCCCCTTTCTAAGTATTCTTGTTGACTTCTGTTCTCCGCCTCCTTTTGTCATACTCTCTTTTCATTCTTTGCACTATGGCTAAAGTAAGTGTTCTAATACTCTTTTATTAGGCCCTTTCAGTTGCAAGGAAGAGAGAAGTTATCTTAAGTAATGGAATGCTTTTTTGAAGGAAACATACATGCCCAAGGGAACCTAGGAAAAGCCAAATAAATTTGTTTCAAGAAGAATGGAAACCTAATAAAGTTGTAAGCAGGAGAAGACAGATTTCACTTTATTTATTTATTTTTTTTGTGGTGCTGGGGGTTGAACCCAGGGCCTTATGCATGCTAGGCAAGTGCTGTATCACTGAGCCATAGAGGCAGCCCTACATGTGCTCTTTTGTTGTCTAGCTACTCTTTCTTTTTGGCTTAATCTTTCTCTCTCCTCCAATTTCCTCCTCCTCTATTTTATTGCTTCCATTTATTCCTAGTTTCTATTCCTTAAAACTTCTTTGTTGCTCCTGTGCCAACATCTTGCTTTCTGGCTGCTGCCCCCCCCTTTTTTTTTCCCTTCCTTGCTGCTAACTTTTTAACTTCAGCTCCTGAGCTAACTTCTTAGTTTTCTTAGGATTTTCTGGTTTAAATTCCCAAGAATCCATTTCTCTGGCTTAGCTCTTTTTCTCATTGGTTGCC